TACTATTCTTCTCAGAGTCAGCCACAGTTTGTTGTGATCCACACAGTCAAATGCCTTTGCATAGTCAATGAAACACAGAGAAGACATTCCTCTGGTACTCCCTGCTTTCAGCCAACATGCATCTAACATTAACTATAATATCCTTAGTATCATGGCCTCTTCTAAACCCAGCCTGCACTTCAGGCAGTTCTCTGTTGATGTGATCCAATTGTTTTTGAAAAATCTTCAGCAGAATCTTGCTCGCATGTGATATTAATGATATTAATCAATATATTCCGCACCCTGTTGGGTCACCTTTCTTTGGAATTAGAATCAATATAGATTTCTTCCAGTCAGTTGGCCAGGTGGTTGTCCTCCATATTTCATGGCACAACTTGGTGAGCACAACCAGAGCCGCATCTGTTTGTTGAAATATGTCAATTGGTATGCCATCAATTACTGGGCCCTTGTGTTCTGTCAAATCTTTCAGAGCAGCTTGAACTTCTTCCTTTATCACTAAAGGCTCTTACTCGCACCGTATTTCATGAAATTCTTTTGTGTCTGCCAATTCCTTTTGGTACCTATGGAATTCATAAGTATTGACATATTAGGTATAGGTGAAATGAGATGGTCAGGCATGTGACATTTTGAGTCAGATGATCATATGATCTATATGCTGGAGATGAAAAAAAGGTGAAAAAATATGGGGTTGTTCTCATAGTTAAAAAGTCATTTCTAAATCCACTTGAAATACAATATTGTGAGTGACAGAATATCCATACACACACAAGGAAGTCCAGTGAATGCCACTATTATTCAAATGTATTCACCAATAACCAAAGACAAAGAGGAGAAAACAGAAGATTTCTACCAACTTTTGCAGTCAGAAATCGATCAAACATGCAATCAAGATGCATTAATAACAGGTGATTGAAATGCAAAAGTTGCGAACAGAGAAGTATCAGTAGTTGGAAAACATGGACTTGGTGACAGAAATGAAGCTGAAGATAGAATGAAAGAATATTGCACAATCAATGATTTAGTCACTGAAAATATGTTTTATAAAAAACATAAACGCAGGCTATACACATGGATTTCACTTGATGATATGCACAGGAATCAGATCAATTACATCTGTGGCAGAGCACAACATTATCTGTGAAAACTAGGCCAGGTGCTGATTGTGGAACAGATCACCAACTACTCATACGCAAGTTCAAGCTGAAACTAAAGAAAATGAAATCAAATCCATGCTCGGGAACCAAAATTTGACTTTGAGTCTATCCCACCCAAATTTCAAAACAATCTCAGGAACAGGTTGGAGTTCTTGAACTGTGGGAGGATATCAAGAGTATCATCCAGAAAGAATGCAAAAGGTCATTACAAAGACAGAAGAGGAAGAAAAGACCAAAATGGATGTCAGAAGAAACTCTGAATATTGCACTAGAACACCAAGAAGCCAAAGCAAAGGGAAGAAATCAAGATATTAAGGAGCTGAACAGAAGATTTCAGAGTGCAGCGAAGGAAGACAAAGTAAAGTATTATAATCAAATGTGCAAAGAGCTAGAATCAGAAAATCAAAGAGACTAAACTCACTCAGCATTTCTTAAGCTAAAGGAACTGAGGAACAAATTCAAGCCATGAGTGGCAATACTTAAGGATGCTTTGGGCAGAATATTAAATGATCCAAGAAGCATTAAAAGAAGGAGTATACAGAATGATTGTACCAAAAGAGAACACAACATGATTTAAAATTAAGAAGGGAGTGTGTGAGCGTTATGTTCTTTCTCCATACCTACTCAATCTGTATGCTGAGCAAATTACTCAAGAAGCTCGACTCTATGAGGAGAATCAGAATTGGAGAGGACTCATTAGTTACCTGCATTATGCAGATGACACAACCTGCTTGCTAAAAGAGAGGACGACTTAAAGCATTTGTTGGAGAAGATCAAAGAATACAGCCTTTAATATGGGTGACATCTCAAAGTCAAGAAAACAAAAATTCTTACCACTGGACCAACATCATGATAGATGGAGAAATTATTAAAACTGTCAATTAACTTCATCTTAATTGTATCCACAATCAACACCTTTGGTACTAGCAGTAAGAAAATCAAGAGATGTACTGCACTGATAAGTCTGCAGTTAAGAACCTCTCCAAATTATTTTTTTTTAAGAACCTCTCCAAATTACTGGGGAGTAATCATGTCAGTTTGAGGACTATGGTGCATCTCATTCAGACCATAGTCTTTCCAGTTACTTGCTTGTATCTGAGAGATGGATTATGAATAAGGATGACAAAAGAATTGATGCCTTGAAGCTGTGGTGTGAGAGAAATGTATTGGACATCCCAAAGAAATTGAAATGTCAAATGAACCAATAAATATGTCTTGGAAAAAATGCAGCCAGAATGCTCTCTGGAGGCAAAGATGATATAGCTTTACCTTACATACTTTGGTCATGCTGCTAGAAGGGATTATTTTGGTGAGGGACATGATGCTAGGAAAGACAGAGGGTTGGCAAAAGAGAAGAATACCCTCAACCAGGTGGACTGACATGGCAACTGCCGCAATGGGCTCTAATGTGTCAGAAATCATGAGGACAGCACAGAATAGGACAGAGTACAGAACTGTTGTTCATAGGGTCACTATGGGTTGTACTTGACTCAACGGCACCTAACAATAAAAACTAAAAAGAAAGCTTTGGAAAAACTTTTAAATATGGCAACACAAAACACTAACTAAAAAGAGAAAGGATACTGAAGAGCCAATTTAGTAATATGAAAAGCTGATCCATGATTTTTAAGTAGAAATATTTCCGTTTATGAACAATATGAATGAGTTATTTTAAAAAGTAGGTTTGTCGTAATTAAAGAGTTAGGGAGAATAAACTATTAAAAGAATTAAAATTACAAGGGATAAGGGACATTGAGATAGATCTGTCTTGGAGAAAGTGTAGAGGCAAAGATGGCAAAGTTTTGTCTCACATACTTTGGGCATGTTGTTAGAAGAGGGTATTCTTTGGAAAGGGAGATGATGCTTGGAAAGATGGAAGGGCGGTGAAAGAAAAGAAGACCTTCAGTGTGAAGGATTGGCACAGTGACTGCAAGAATGGGCTCAAGCGTATGGTGTCAGAGATGACGAGATGGCCCACTAAGTGTTCCCACTGGGTCACTAGGAGTTTTCCTTGACTCAACAGCATGTAGCAACAACAACTTTTCACTTACTATACTAATTCTCAAAGTTTACAAAAATAGCATGTACAATTTTTAAATTACCAATAAAACGGTATTCACATTTTGAAGGGACATAAGAAGAGTGGAGGGATGGAAGAAGAAAGCAAAGAAAAGAATAATAGTTTGAAACAAAATGGTGGCGAAGTGGAAAGAATATGCTAACCTGACGCCCTGCCACTAACTAGCTGGGCTATTTGGTTAAGCTCGTGTGGTTAAAACAGGGAGCCCACATGGTATCGTTCCTAGGTAGGGGGGCTGTTAACTCAAAGGCTACGCCTCTCTGAGGGTTGGAATCTACCAGTAGATCCGTGGAGAAAAATGGGCAACCTTCTCCCACGCAGTTTACAGCCTCAAAAAGCCAAGTGAGGCTGAGCTGAGTTGGTTATGACTTGGTGGCAATAAGCTCTGGCACAAGAGCGACTATGAGGTTAGCAAAAGACTGGACAGTGTTCTGTTGGACACAAAAGACTCAGAACTGATTCACAATATCTAAGAATAACACAATTAGGGATGGGATAAGTTGGTATTGACATCTAGGGGATATATGTCCATGATGCTACTAAACATCCTACAACACTCAGGACAGCCACCACAACAAAGAATTATCTGGCCTAAAATGTATGCTGAAGTTGAAAAGCCTTGCTAGGCTAACCTCCTTCCTTTAACGTATCTATTTTGCAAACAAATGAGTTACTTTTCATTTCTATAGTTATGAGTTCATTTTCAAACAATATTACTATAGCTTCTAGTTGACAGATGAGAAAGTTAAGCCTAGCTAAATCAAGTCGTAGCTCACAAAGCAGTAAGAGAACATTAAACCTATAACGTCTGATTGTAACACTATTAAGTTTTTTTGTGTGTATCATTCCAAAAATTTAATATTCACATAAAAGCACATATTCTTCCCATCACAGGCTAGCAAAGATTATTCTGCAGGTGACTTTTGTTCAGGAAGCACACAGCTACATCTTTTTAAGTAAAATGCACATATTGTTTTTAACAATGACAAAGCATTCTAAGAAGTGAGTAATTCACTAGTATATGCATGATACAACTAATGTTGCTTTTCGTTGGAAAAGGATGGGCAATCTCTTCCCCTGGGATTAACTGCCTCTGAAAACCTACTGGAAAGTCAGCTTTAAGTTGGTTTCCAGTCAATGATACTCATCAACAACACTGACGTTGCTTTTAGGGAGTTCTGGTGGCCTAGTGGTAAGAAGCTGCACTGTAATTCTGAAGGTTCAAATCCACCAGATGCTCTGCAGGAGAAAGATGGGCAATCTCCTGTGTGATTTATTGCCTCTTAAAACCAACTGGAACAACAACATTGCCTTTAGAAATTGTTATTACTAAAAAAGCGCTGCAATGCAAATCATTCTGTATCTCTTCTTGCCGATTTTTACAAGATTATTTATTTGTAGGATGAATTCTTTCAAAAGCACAAAAGATTGAGCAAATACATGTGAATGTAAATTCATAGACAACTATGATCAAACTGTCTTCCAAAAAAGAAAGTACTAACATATGTATTTCTATGGCCTTTCTACAGGCCTTTGGAAACTCTATTAACATCAGAGAAACAACAATAGTTATAGAACAGGGTTCAAATTTTTTGTTCATAGGATCACTATGTATCGTACTTGACAGCACTTAACAAAAACAATCCCCTTTCTCAGCTTGAGCTTTATCTGACTGGCACCAACATCAAAATCAGTAAAGGAAAAAAGAATACTGTTTAGTCCTCTCTCCCACCCCATCATTCATAGCATAAAAATATTTCACTCACCAAAAAACTGCTTGTTGTCTTCATAGTATTTGTTTCCATATTTATCTTCCCCTACTAATGTACCGACCCTCACATCATTTGCCCTGTGAATGCCCAAAACAAAACAGTTAGTGATTCTTCAAATCAAACGGAAATAGGGTGGGAGAGTGTGAGTGTGTGCATGTGTGTATCCCAGCTGAAACTCATTGCTGTCAAGTTGGAATAGATTCATAGTGGACCCTCCAGTTGCTTTTCAGAGGCTGTAAATCACATGGCAGGAGACTGCTCATCCTTCTCCCAAGGAACAACTGGTGGATTTGAACCGTCTGCCTTTGGGTTGGCAACATTACTCTTTACCCACTAAGGCACCAGAGCTCCCTATATGCACATGCACACACACACACCCCTACCCCTCATTTACATAGATTTATCTCAGTGTTACACTGGAGATGTACTAACTCTGCAGTCAGGGACTCCTCCAAATTACTGAGGAACTTGAAGACTAAGGTGTGACTGATTCGGGTCATGGTCTTTTCAATCTCTTGCTATGCATCCGAGAACCGAACAATGAATAAGGATGCCAGAAGAATCGATGCCTTCGAGCTGTCCTATCGGATAAGCACAGAATATCCGATGGACTCACAAAAACAAACAGTTGTATCTTGGAGAAAGTACAGCCAGAGTGAGTGCACCGTGGAGGCAAAGATGACAAAGCTTCGTCACACACACTTTGGGTAAGTTACTAAGAGAAGCTCTTCCTTGGAGAAGGGATATCATGTTTGAGAAGGTGGAGGGATGGGGAAAGAGAGGAAGACCCTCAATCAGATGGACTGACAAAGAAACTGCAGCAGTGCGCTCAAGTATGTCAGAAAGGGTGAGGATGGCACAGGATAGGGCAGGGTTCAGATCTGTAGTCGGTGAGGATGGCACAGGATAGGGCAGGGTTCAGATCTGTAGTCCATAGGGTCGCTATAAGTCTCACCAGACTCAAAAGCACCTAACAACAACAACAACAACAACATTACTCACTATAACGCAGACAGTAGGATGGAAAAGGATGATGTGCCTTATCGATGCACTAAACCACATAAGCATATGGAAGCACTGTCTTCAATCTACAGCACTACCTTTCTCTACCACCCCGTGCCACGAGTCACTAGAGTTAGCAAAATCTTCAGGAAATCGGTCTATTTCCTCTTAAAACGGTCTGTCTCTTAACTCCTCCAAGTCGACTCTTCTACTTCAAATCACCGTTTCCGCAGATGATGGTACTTGTCACAATCAATGAGTGTGTAGGCTGGTAAGGACCTTTCAAGCCCTCACTTGAGAAAACTGAAGGCCAGTCAAGGGAAAAGACTTCCCCAAGGTCACACGGCGAGTACCTGCCAGAGCCCATCAATCTCCGGGACGCGGGACCGAGGGGAATGCTAGATCTTGCCTGCAGGTCACAGCTCCCCTCCCCGGAGCTGCTTCTGGTGAAAAGCTGAAAAAAGTCTTTGTTCCCAGCTCTAGAGCCTGGGGAAGACGGAGATTGGGTAGTGCGTCCTTGACAGAAGCTGAGGCTTCCTCAAGGTGACCCACACCCTGTCCCCTTTCCAAGAAACCTATCAGCGTAAACCTAGCTCCAGAGAACTAGACAGAGGCTGGCTCTGGACACTTACCTGAAGAAAACTCTTAAGTAGCCACGGAGGCCGCCATGGCCGCTGATCTGCTGCAGCCCGCGTTTCAGAACCTGCAGATACTCCATGTTGGCCCGCAGACCCCGCCTCCCGGGTGCGCCGGAAAAACCTACCGGCCGGAAGCTCGCACGCAGCCGCCAAGAGTCCGGCGCAGAAAAGTCCCCCGAGCCTGCGGGGTTTTGTCTCTGAAATTTCTTCTTGATGCCTTGATTAAGAGCTATTTTTGTCCTCACAAGCAAAAGAAATACTTTTAGAATGCTTCTAGGTGAAATACTTACCTAATCTACAGAACTAAGTGATGACAATTTTTATGGAAATCTCATTCTCAATGCTTTGCTAGAAACGTGGTTTTTAATCTCTTAAAGTTTTTTTCCCCTTTCCCCAGAATCTTTTGAGAATTTAAGGATTGTCATCATGGATCTTTATTAAATTAAGCACACTTACTCAATTTGTTGTTGTTAGGTGCCATCTAGTCGACTATGAGTCATAGCAAATTTATGAACAGATGCATCTTATGCAATTCTTAGGAACTTTGTGCAATTCTTAGCTAACTAATTTTTCTTCTAATTATCCCCCCTCATTTTCTCTTCATTCTTCCTGACTTCTAATTAGCAGAATATTATACCTTCCAAATTTATTTGTTTCTTTTAACATTATCTACCTGTATTCCATTTCTGTCTTTATGCGTTATATGGCAATGCATGAATTTGTTCCTTGTGTGGGTACAGTCTATTTAATCTTAATATAAGATTCTTTTCCTTCCAAGGACCCTTTCTTGATCTTTAATTGCTCCTTATTACCCTTTCCTAAATTTTGTTATTAGCTTGATATTAGTATTGCTGTAGAGCCAAAGATAAAGAGATATGCAGAATACATTTGGATAAGACATTGTCTTTTTCTAATGTTAACAAAAATATAAAAAAGGTAGCATTATTTTAGCCAATAAAAACCTCAAAACTCAAAATTCGTTGCAGTTGAGTCAGAACTGACTCATAGCTGACCCCTCAGTGGGTTTTCAGAGGCTGCAAAACACAAGGGGGAAGACTGCCCAGCTTTCTGAAGTCAAGCAGCTGTTGATGGGGAGCTCAGGTGGCCTAGTGGTACAAAGCTGCTCTCTAGTCCCAAAGCCAAGCAGTTCAAATCCACCATCCAAGGAAGGAAGATGGGCAGCCTCTTCCAATGCAATTTGCTACTGCCTCTAAAAACCTGTGGAAGGGTCAGCTATGAGTCACTTTTGACTCAATGGCACACAATAACAACCATCTTTGGGTTGACAACTCAACTCCTCACCCACTGGACTACCAGAGATAGTAAAGAAATTAATACAAGTGGTCTTAGGGATGTAGTAAGAATTCTGTCATGTATCAAAATAAAAGTAAAAAAAAATAATAAAACTGACGCACACTATATATGAGTGTTAAGTATCTAACATAATGATTTCTCATCCCAAAAGGTAAGTTCCATGAGAGTAGAGACATCATTTGAGCCAATGCCATGTCCCTAACAATGAACCTTGGTGTTACAAAGTTTAAAGACCTGGCTGCTAAACTGAAGGCAGACCTTCCCACCCCACCTTGCCCCTTGTCTGTGAAAAGAAATGATGGCAGCCAGCTTCCATAGAGATCTATTGTTTTTGTCAAGTGCTGCCTGAATGGACTCCACCCCAGAGAAATGCTATGCACACCAGAATGAAACATGCCCGATCCTATCTTCACAAACCCCACTGTCACTGTGCTCAAGATAGTATATTCCATAGCCTTTGCCAACACAATTCAAAGGTATTGCTTCTTTGATCTCCTTTATTCATTGTCCAGCTCATACATGCATATGAAGCAACTGAAAATAACCATGGCTTGAGGCAGGAACACTGTAGTCTTTAAAATTACACCCTTGCTCGTTAGTGCTTTAAATTAGGTTTCTGACAGTGAGTTGTAGTTGTTTGTTAATAAGTGCCATTGGATTTATAGCTACCATATGAACAACAGATCTGTCTTGCTCTATGCTGCACCATCCTCATGAGCTCTGGCATACTCCCGACTGTTGTTACAATCACTGTGTCAATTCATCATGTTGAGAGTCTTCCTCTTTTCTGACTCTCCACCTTTCCTAGCATGATGTCTTTTTCCAAGGACTGGCCCCTACAGGCAATATGCCTGAATTATGTGAGATACAGTTTCACTTTCATTGCCTCTAAGGAGCACCGTGGTTGCCCTTTCTCCAAGACAGACTTGTTTATTCTCTTAGCAGTCCACAAGATATTTAACCCAATACTCTTATTCACTATCACAATTTAAAGACATCAATTTTTCTTGTGCTATCCTCATTCATTGCCCAACTTTCAGATGCATTGTAAGTGTCTGAAAAGGCCACAGCTTGTATCAGGCATCAGCTTGAACTGACAGCCTTGCTCTTCAGCTTTTTGGAGTGATCCTTGACAGGAGATTTTCCCAGTGCAATGTTGTCTGATTTCTTGGCTTCCGTTATCATAAGAGTTGATTGTGGATCCAAGTGAAACGAAGTCACTGAGAAATTTACTCTTTTCTCCATCTATTATGTTGCCTGTTGGCCCAGTGGCAAGAATTTTTAATTTCCTGCTTGTTGAAATATAACCCATATTGATCTTCTGCAATGATGGCTTCAAGTTCTCTACAGTTTGTGCAAGCAAGGTTGTGACAGGATTTGTTGATGAATCTTCCACCAATCATAATGCCAAATTCTTCTTTATTTAGTCCTGCTTCTTGAATTACTTGCTCAGCATACTGATCGAATAGGTATGGGGAAAGGTTACAATCATGACTCATGCCTTGCTTGATTTTAAACCAAGCAATGTTCCCATGTTCTGTCTGGACAACTGTTTCTTGGTCTATGCATCTGTGTGGCATAAGCACAGTTAAGCAGGTTAAAGCCTTGCAAATCCTCTGTGGCTGTTTAGCAATGCTCTATGGGAGCGCTTTACATCAGAATCTGATTTGCAGCAAAAATTCTCACCAAGTATAAGTGGCTGTTTGGACACTACCTTCAAAGTTCTGTGGATTAGGTGAATGTTCCATCACAACCTTGCCCCCTTGAAGTATTTCCTTGTTTGTGAGGACAAAAACAAAAACAACAAAAAAATAAATAAAAGGGGGGGAAGGCCTCTTACTCAAGACACTGAAAAAAGATTGCAGAGAAAAGCTCATCTCACGTCATTTAAAATCAGGAATGGGAGCTCTGGTGGCCTAGTGGTAAGAAGCTGCACTGCAATCCCTAAGGCACATAGTCTGAATGCACCAGTTTCTCTGAGGAAGATGGATGGACAATCTTCCGTGATTAAAACCCTCTGAAAACCTGCAGGAGCATCAGCTACGGGTTGGTTCAGACTTGGCAATACAGACCAATAACAACAACTTTCAATGTATATGCTAAGCAAATCAAGAAGCTGTACTATATGAAGAATGTGGCATCAGAAAGCCTCATTAAGAATAAGCATTTAAATAAAACACAGCACAACATGCCTTATGCAGATGACATAACTTTGCTTGCAGGACTTGAAACAATTACTGCAGAGAATTGTGCAACTAACCCAAAGATTGTGCCTCTCTGGAGGTTCAAATCCACCAGTAGCTCTGAGTGAAAAGATGAACAGTCTCCTCTGAAATCTGTTGCAGAGTCAGCTATGAGTCAGTTTAGACTGCAGGGCAATGAGAGAACGTGAGAGAGTAAGCAATTAGTGGAGGTTTTCTATTAGCCTAGCAACAATTAATGAGGGTCATTTTATCAAACTAAAATCTGCCTGCTCCTACAGTACATATCTGAGAGTTTAGGTCATGGCATATGTGTGGATGGCACCAAATTATCTCCAGAACATTGACAAGATCGGACAAATTAGTCAAGGGCACAATTACCAGACCCGAACACCTTCAACTAGAGAAAACACTGAAAAATTTTCTCACATCCCTATGACATGGCTCTTCTCTTTTTAAGCCCCTAAAGTCTCCAGACAGAGAGGCAGACTGGGCAAACTCTAACCCTTGTCTCCTGTATACCAGTATATAATAAACTTCTGCTTTTTTTACTCAAATCCCCATATGCAGGATTAGTTTTTTTAATGGCAGGTGGCAGAATTGTGTCTTTGTGGTAACACTCTGAGGGCATAAAAATTACTGTTGAGAACTGCATCATGAACTTAAGGTGATGGGCCTTGTCATCCAACTCATCTGAGGAAAATGAAGACAGTTGTAGTTGTAATGACTGCAATAGAGATGTCAAATCTGTCAGCTAGTTTAAGAAAAAAATTGTCCTGGATGTCCACAGCCCTATTGTCAAAGCTTAGCTAAATCTCTGGCTGCTATATAACTTCAGTCCTTTAAAAGGGGTTAACTGCCAATTTTGGGGGGCGGGGAGGCAAAATCCTCCCTCATGTCCAGTTTAAGCCTGGAACCAACCTGAGTTTGCAGACATGGGTCCAGAGTGCCACCCTGAGGCCTGATCAGGACATAACACTCTCCCTGCCAGACCACTGCAACTCCAGTGGCTCCCTCAGAATTGCCTAGTGCAATTTCACCTGGGGCATCCCAGGTTTGACAAACCTTCACCAAACCGCCCCCAGACTTTCTGTACCACAGTTTTCAGTTGTTTGTTTATGTTTCCTGGAGTCCACTACAGCTCACAGTACCCCTATGAACAGATTTGACCTTTGCTCCATCTTCATGATGGCTGCCACACTGCCCACTGTTAGTCATTGTGTCAGTCTATCTCATGGGAAGTCTTCCTTTCTTTCCCTGACCTTTACCTTTTCCAGGATAATTCCTTTTCCCCCCCTAATGACTGGAGTCTCCTGACAACATGCCCAAAGTATGTGAGGCACAGTTTCACCATCCTTGCCTCCAAGGAGCACTCTGGTTTTTCCTTGGAGTCAGCTGACTGTACCCATAAGGACACAAAGGCTCTCAAGGGCACTGAGAGTATTTAACTGCCACTAGTCCCTGCACCACCAAGGCCAAGAACCACTGGACAGAAGCATTTGAGAGGGTGACCAGAAAATGTGTATGAATGGAGCTCAGAGTGAAGCTAGTGGGGAAAAGGTCAGACCCATTTGTT